GATATTATGCATGAAAAGGTTTTGTTTGATGAATTGTGTGAGCTTGAGAAGGCAGAGAAGTTATTTTATCGGCAGAAAGTAAAAGTAATTTGGGTGCAAGATGGGATTAATCCATAATTTTTTTTCAATATACTATTGCAGTGAATAATAAGAGAAATATTATTAGGGTTATCCATTATGGTGGGGGCGACGGTTAGATACTTTTGATGGAGTGTCTAATTAGATAGTGAGTTTCTTTGTTGATAATCTTGGTACTAGGGGATCAAAGTATGCAAGACTGTGATGTTGATAGTTTGAGGAGCCTTCTTCAGTTTGATTTGCCTGCTTGTGTTGGGGATATGTTGATTAAGGAGGTTACTAGTGTTGAAATGAGGTCTGCTTTATTTGGTCAATGGAGTGATAAATCCCATGGCCATGATGGCTACTCTTCTCATTTTTCAAGATATCTTGGTATGTGGTTGGTGATTATTTCATTAGTTCAATTAAAGATTTCTTTGGTACTTCAAGGATGCTACCTGTATTTAACTCCACCATTGTTGCTCATTTGCCTAAAACTCCTAACCCTAGCATGGTAAAGGATTTTAGGCCCATATCATAATGCTTGGTGGTTTATAAGACTGTAACAAGGATTTTAATAGATAGGATCACCTCGTATCTCCATGATATGGTTTCTCTTAGTCAAATGACTTTTGTCAAGGGTAAGAGTATTATTGACAATACTCTGTTAGCCCAAGAGATTATTCCTGGTTATGCTAGAAGGTATTAATCACTAAGGATTGCCCTTAAGATTGATCTTCGGAAGGCGTTTGATTTTTTGAGTTGGTGGTTCATTCTTGCTATTTCAGAGGTGATAGGGTTGCTAGCATCTTTTGTAGTTGGGTTAAGGCTTGTATCACTTCTCTCTAATTCTCTATTTCATTTAATGGTGGTCTTGTTGGTTACTTTAAGGGTGAAAGGGGTATTAGGCAGGGGATCCCCTCTCCCACTATCTATTTGTCCTTGCCATGAATGTTCTCTCGAAGATTTTGGATTTTTCTGTAGCTAAGGGGGTCTTCCAGTACCATCTGAAGTGCAAAAAGATTGGCCTCACTCATTTAAGCTTTGTTGATGACCTGATGATCATTTGCAAGGGTTCACTGGACTCGATAGTGGAGATTCAGTGTATTCTTGAGGTTTTTTACAAGATTTCTAGGTTAATGTTGAAAAGTGAATTGTTTTCTTTGAGTATCTCTATTGATGTTTTAGAGTCTATTCAGGAGGTTTCTGGGTTTAGACTTAGTTGCCTTCTTGTCAGGTACTTGTGGGTCCCGTTAGTTACTCGCAAGCTTACTAAAAAGGACTATCATGCCCTGTTTGAGAAGATTAAGGCTAAGTTGGGGCATTGGTTAGGTAGGTTATCGAGCTTTGCTGGTAGGCTTCAACTTATAAAATCTGTTTTATTTGGCATTGCAAATTTATGGTGCATGCAGCTTTTCCTTCTCTCGACAGTGATTTCTAAGGTCAATCAACTTTGCATGAGGTTCCTTTGGAAAGGTCATGACTCTAATGATATTGGTGCTAAAGTGATTTGGCAGTTTGTTTGCTTGATTAAGTTTGAGGGAGGTTTGGGATTAAACGATATTTATTGTTGGAACAAAGCTTATGTGTTGCAGCTTGCGAGGAAACTGCTTGTTAGTGAGGGCTCTCTTTGGGTGGCATGGGTGCATGATTATATACTCAGGGAATTGATTCTTGGCATTTTGATAGCAGGATCAATGCTAGTTGGAGTCCAAGGAAACTTTTTAAGCTTCGGGTCGAGGCTGCTCCTGTCGTGGCTTTCATTCTTATTACTTGGATTTAGGGAGAGATTAAAGGTATGGGAACCCGGGTATGTTGGTATTAACTTATCTGGTATCTTTCGCATATACCTAGACATTCTTTTATAAGTTGGTTGGCTATCTTAGATTGTTTGAGTACTAAAGATAGATTGTTAGATTGTTGAGAATGGGTATTATGGTTGACCTCCTCTGTGTTTTGTGTACTACTAGTTTAGAGTCCAATAGCCATTTTTTCTTTGGTTGTGCTTTCTCCTGTTCTATCCGGGGAAGGATTCTTGGCTTATGTGGTTTGGCTAGGCCTGTTTTTAGGTGGGATCAGGAGCTAGAATGGGTTTGCTCTCGGTTGAGGGGGAAATCTTTCTTGGTCTTCATCCTGAGGATTGCTTGGTGTGATCTTATATATTTTGTATGGAAGGAGCAGAATCATCAGGTGTTTAAGGGAAGGTCTTGATCTATTGATGATGTTGTTGAGGCCATTCGAGAGGTTGTTTGTATTAAAGCTAGGAACATGCAAAATTTAAAGCATGTAAACTCTAATCTTTATATTGTCTGCGGTATTTCCTAGATTGATTGGTATTATTGTGTTTGTTTTTGGTTTATAGCAGGTCTCTCTTTTTTTAGATAATATATAACAGAAAAGCTTATCCTAAAAATAAAAAAAAATAAAAGACTCAAATCAAATTAACCTCAAACTTTGAATAGTGGATGAGAACTTTATCCATATTTTAAATGAGCATTTTTTTTTGCTTTAAGCCCATTTTCGGGCCTAACACTTTTGCCTAAAATCTCCCAAATTTCTGACAGGCTTTCGTGCTTGGACGGTAGCCTGGGCCTTAAACATTTTTGAAAGCGACTAATTTGAATAATGTCAAATTTAAGAGGGATCTGATAAGTATTTTACATTTTTTTGTACATAAACCCTACTTAATTTCTACTCCTCCGCCTTGGTCTTTCCCTCGCGATTCTTCAAGATTTAGCACGATCTTCCTTGAGCTTTTAGAGGTAAGAAACTACTGTTTCAATCGATTTTTTTAGTTTTATTTTGCAGTGTTAAGAAGTTCGTTTTAAACACTTATGATTTTTAATGTTTTCGATTTTTCACTCTTTAATATCATCTGAGATTACTTTTCTCATATTGTTTTTCCTAATTTACAAAACCTCCATTGACGCTTCTAAGTTTTGCCTCCTCTTTTGAGATTAATTTTGTTTCATTTTAGATGAAATTAGATATGAATTAACGTGGAATATGATAAAGTCGCTTCGTACTGGATATGAATCTAACTTCCCGTTTTAGGGATTATGGTTATGTGGAATATTGGATGTTTCAGGTTGATCTGAAACTTGTTGCCTAATGCTCCATTTTAAGATTTTTACGGCGAAACCTGTTTATTGTTAATCACGAATCATGATTGAGCTTCACTTTTTATTTTTAGTTTTAATTTTAATTTCTTTTTTCTTTTCAGGAAATGCGTTTTTACTTAGTAATTGAGTGTTTAAGGGGCTCAGTGTTTAACATCACTAGCTCTAGATAGTATTCAACATTTTTAGCAGTTTTTGTGTAGTCCAAATTTTCATATTATCGAATGAATTTCCTGTTTCTTCTTAAAATGTAATAGGGATCTAAGGGTTCCGATGAAAAATCGAGTGCACAATGCTTTAAAGAGTGGAGCACATGGGCTATTAAAAAGGCCAAAGTGGTAACTCACTATGGCTTCATTCCTCTGGTGATCATCATTGGCATGAACTCTGAACCCAAACCCCAACTCTATCAACTCCTCAGCCCCGTCTGAATCTCTTAACCACCCCGGTCTTAGTGTCTTCTCTCTATGTGACGGACTATCTGTCGAAATTACATGGTATTAACTACAAAGTTTAGATGCTTGGTGCTTTTAAATTACATTGTCTTTGTTTTCTATAAGCTTATGGATTAATAATCATGAATGGTACATTTGATTCCTTCATTTGAGATAATGTTTTGTTTTGCTTATTCTCACCTTCTTAAACCTGAATCTAACGTAGATAGTTATTAAAAGCATGGTGTTTTTTTATTCTACTTCTTTAAACTCGGTGTTTGCAATTTTAGGTACAAGTTTATCTTATACATGCACGTGCAACCGATTTGCCCTTTTTTATTTGGAATTGGCATTCACTTTTAGATTGCTTATTATGCTTAATGTTTTGGTTTCTGTGCAATGCTGATGTTAAAAATGTGGGTTGAGGGAGTGAGGAATCTCTCTTTCGCTGTTTTTTTTTTCCTGAAAAAGTTAATTAAAATGCTAAGCTTTGGCATAATTGTTAACATCGGTATGGGTATCGGCTACTAATCTCTCTTCTCCCCCCCCCCCCCCAAACACCATTAAACCAGTTCTTGCAACCTCAAGTAGCTACCTTTTTGCCCGGAAACGCGATACGAACTTCTTTGGTCGATGTTTTTCTAATAGCTTGATGAATAGAAAAATTAAATTTTGGTTGATGTTAATTAAAATCTTAATTGTTTTATTTCGATCAAATTGTCTTTTTAACTTGGCATGTTTTGTTAATTTGTCATTTGAACTTCAAAAACTTTATATAAAATGGTCTCTTAAGATGAATGGTGTTAATTTAAATTGTCTATTTAAACTAAAAAAAATCAAATTTAAGTATCAATTTGAACTAAAAATGAAATTCACGCATCGACCTGAATTAAACTTGGAACTAAATTCAAATAACTAATTGAGTAAAAAGTATTTTTCATTTCATGGAGTGCATGTAACAGAACTCGAATATTGTTAATATAATAGGATTAACGATATCAAATACAATATTCGGTTAATGGATTTTAATGTCAAATGTACATAAACACCTACTATAACTTTATATTATAGTTGGTATGTACATATAAATTTGTAAATATTTGAAGTCCAGGGTCGTATCCCAGCGCAGATAGGATGACGAAAGCAGAATAATTCAAAGCCTGGTGAAAAAAAACACAAAATGAAGATGAAACAATGCGGAGTTAAATAAGTGCACGTGTGTAAAAATATATCATACAACTACTGATACATACATTGCAATGTTAAAAGTAGTCCAATGTAGACCACATTTCCCATCTACTATTCCATTTTTTTTCTCTTTTTTATACACATCAGGGCCACTATGACCCTTACCACCAGGAATCATATGAATGTACAATTCTTTTGAGGATTACCAGAAGATATCATCTACTGCTATCGACGCCGATGGCCGATACTCTTCTTCTTCCATCTCCAACTCAGGCTCTTCGGAACCAAATTCAGCCGACTCTATATCGGCAAGGTTCTTCAGATCAAAGACCAAAAGCTCGTCTAAATGGTTCACCACAAAGTCTGCAGCCCCAAGCTCATACACTGGATGCTTGCTAGCAATAGCCACGCACTTCATCCGTGCATCATGGGCAGCTTCGACCGTCTGATTAGAGTTCCCAAACACAATGCAGCGCTCCGGTGTGAACTGCAGAAGCTGTGCAGCATAAACAAACATTTCGGAATCTGGTTTACCCCGGTGAACATCTTCTGCTGCAACAATGACACTGAAGAATCCTTCCATCCCGATGGCTCGGATTGCTGCCTCAAGAACTTTTCCCCGCCGGGTAGAAACCAATGCCACTGGTATCTCATAACGCGTCAAGGTATTTACAAACTCTTGAGAACCGTCACGTAATCTATATATCCCACCTTGCAAAGCTTGGTAAATATTTTCCTTCCTTGCAGCCATTCTTCTTAATTGCGCCGGGTCTCTTGCCAGCACAAAACCTCAGAAATTGCTTGCTCATTCTTCATACCTTCTATTCTCCTAAGGATAAAGGCAGGGGGAGGAGATTTTCCTTCTTCCTCAGTGAGAGCCAGCCAAGCTTGCTTCTCGAGCTGATGGTTATCTTCAATTATAACACCTTCCCATTCAAATAAAGCACCTAACCAACCACAACCCATCCTTTCTTGTCTAAGCAACGGATTATGTAACAAAGGATCGTCGGCTCTGTTCTCCGGTGGCCACAAGGCAGGTTTTCGCTCTACACAAGTATTTTTTTTTTTTTGATAGGAATAGGAGGTCTCATTAAAAACCTCCCTCTTAGAGGATCTTACCCATAAGGTAAGACCCAACTAGCGGAAGGAGGAAAAGAGTACCTCAATTTATTAATGAAAGCCAAGTTACATAAGACTTAAAAACACTTTTACAAACAACATAAGACTTCACACACTCCTCTAGCTTCTAAGCTCAGAAACAGACACCAACTGAAACAGACAAAAAAATCACCCGATCCCCTCTTTTGCTAGCTTGTCAGCCTCGCAATTACAAGACCTTGGAATCCACCTGACAATAAAATTTCTAAAAGAAACAATAGATACAATTTCCTTAACAAAATTCGAAAGGGAAATAGGAACCAAAGCTTGATCTTTGATCCAATCCACGACCAGCTTGCAATCACATTCAATAATGAGTCTGCCCTTCAACAACCATTCTGAAGAAACAAAGATATCAATGCCTCTTCTTACAGCTTTCAATTCTGCTAAATAGGGATAAGAAGGACCAACATTTTCTGAAAAAGAGATGAGTGTAACCCGATTCCAATCCCTGAGAAGACCCCCTATTCCAGCCACTCTCCCAACTCTACTACAAGCCCCATCCACATTGAATTTAAAAAAATCAACTGGAGGAGGAATCCACCCGCACCCTGATCTGTGAAGTTCCTTAGGGGCAGAGATACTATCTGCCAAGGAAGGATCACCAATTAAAGAATCCACCTTAATATAGGAAAGAGGATATTTTGCTAGAAACCATCTTGCTAGCCTTAAGCGAACAGTGAAAAACAATGAAAGCTTGTCCAGTTTACCATTATCAAAGATAATATCATTTCTGATTCTCCAAATTGACCATAGCACTACACCCGGAATAAACTTCCAAATAACCGAAGAAGGCCTCAAATCAGACCAAGAACTAAGTAAGGAAGGAGGGTCAAGTGGAAAAGCTAAACTAATACCCCAATAACAAATTAATTTATTCCACAGCTCCCACGAAACCTGACAGAACAAAAAAGATGCTGGACAGATTCTTCACATAGATTGCAAAAAGGGCAGAGAGTATCCTCCCCTAAAGTAACCCCCCTTTTCATCAATTCCATTCTAACAGCAACTTTTTGATGAGATAGCTGCCAAAGGAAAGTCTCCACTCTAGGAGGGACTAATCCCAGCCAAACACAGTTTCTCCACTGAAATGTATCCTCATAAACAGACTCTAGAGATTTCCTGCACTCTTTGACAGAAAACAGCCCGTCCCCCAAGCCATCCCACAGCAGGCAATCCTCCAAAGATTCAATCAGTTTAATGTCTTTAAGGCTGTTCAATAATTCAACCAACTGCAACACTTCCCAATCACAAAGATTCCTCCTTGTTTTAATATTCCACTCCCATCCATTCAAATCAAAACTACCAAAAGCAGCCACATTGCCACCTTTGTTAGTAGAAAGTGCAAAAATCCTAGGAAAAAGTATTTTTAATGGACAATCCCCAAGCCAAGTATCCTTCCAAAAAGAGACAGATTCTCCATTCCCTATTTGAATTTTTGCATGAGATCTAAGGCACCCTCCAATGAAGTCATTCTTTGAGAAGTTATTGACAATTCCCCTCCAAATCCACGAGTCTTTATGAGATAGGGCCTTAGTGATATCCAAGGAATGACAACTCACATTATGTTTACAACAAAAGAATTTCTTCCATATCGAGTCTTTCTCATTTGCAAACTTCCATACCCACTTCCCCAACAACGCTCGATTGGTAAGATTCAAATCAACAACTCCTAAACCTCCACCACTCAACGGCTTACAAATCTTTTTCCAACTAACCCAATGCATTCTCTTTTTCTCACCCCCTCCACCCCAAAGAAAATTCGACATCAAAGAATTTAACTGTTGAGAAATAGTAGATGGCATCTTGAAAATAGATAGGTAAAAAATGGGTAAAGATGAAAGTACCGACTTTATAAGCACCAATCTGCCAGCCATGGATAAAGATGAAGCTTTCCACCCCACCAATTTTCTACTAAAGTTCTCTATGACCGGCTCCCACAACTTCTCTGAATTCTTTTTTGCCCCCAAAGGGAGGCCTAAATAAACTGTCGGGAAAGAGCCAATAGAACAGCCAATATCCCTCGCCCATTCTTCAAGTAAGTCATTCTCCATATTAATACCATAAAGTTTACTTTTGGCTAAATTGAGATGGAGCCCCGTCATTAGGCCAAAAATCCTCAAAACTCTTCTAACATTCTTGATCTGGGTAATAGAGGCTCGACAGAATATAATTAAATCGTCCGCGAACTGAAGGTGTGATAAATTAAAGGAGTTTTGATCATTGCCGAACGAAAACCCTTGAAACAGACCCAAAACCACTGCTTTTGAAAGCATCTTGTGAAGCAATTCCCCAACAACATTGAACAGAATAGGAGAGAGGCTACATCCTTGCCTTAATCCTTTATCAATAAGAAATTCTTCTGTAGGGGACCCATTGACTAGGACCGATATAGAAGCTGTGGAAATACATTGTGTGATCCAAGAACACCACCTATCACCAAAACCCATCTCTTTCAATAATCTTATAACAATCTGCCATTCCACTGTGTCATACGCTCTGCTGAAGTCTACTTTAAAGACAACCCCTTTAAGCCCTTGTTTCCTCCAACTGTCAATTCCTTCATTGGCCACACAAACACATTCCAACAATTGTCTCCCCGGAATAAATGCAAACTGATTAGGACTGATAATATCTTTGACACAAGAAATAAGTCTCTTTGAAAGTACTTTTGATAGAATTTTATATAGGCTGCCCACAAGACTAATGGGTCTATAGTCTTCTATACTCTCCGGATTACCTTTCTTTGGGATCAAGGTAATAAAAGCGTGGTTAACCCCGTGTACCCACTCCTTTCCTTCAAAGAAATCTGAAACAAACTCCATAATCTGCTCCTTCAAATGATTCCAGTATTTCTTATAAAAACCCATGGTAAAACCATCCGGACCGGGAGCTTTAGCACTATCAGAAGAAGAAATTGCATTCCACACTTCTTGCTCTGTAAATTCCTCCTCCAGATAAATCCTTTGAACTGCTGATATTTTCATAAAATCAAAATCTAGACCCTCAACCTCAAAAGCCGCTTTTGTGTTGTATGCAGTCCTGAAAAACTCATAAACACTGTTTTTTATCTTAACTGGATCCGAAATTACCACCCCTTCAATTTTCAGAGAATGAATAGTGTTAACACTATTTCTTTCATAGCAGTAAGGTGAAAAAACCTCGTATTTTTGTCTCCGTTTTTGATCCATCTATTTCTTGAATTCTGCCACCAAATGCTTTCTTCGATCCTTAACAATCTCCACAGCTCATTTTTGAATTCAATCAACTGATCCCATTCCCCCTTAGATAACATTCCACCTTGTGACTTTAAATCCAATTCATTTATTTTAACTTCAAGCAGCGAAATGGAGTCTGATAGCCCTAAATGACTGCTGCCAGGCCAATTTCTGATCTTCTTCTTCGCGTTTTGTAACAACCTGAAAATCCCCCCTCTATTCCTCTTCTTCTTCTCATCAACCACACAACCTTCAACCAAATCATCAAACCCTTTCTCCTCTAACAGAAAATTAAATAGCCTAAAGGGTTTGGGGCCCCAATTGTGACTAACATCCTCCAGCAAGACCGGATTATGATCTGAAATTGATTTTGGTAAAAGGCATTGTGAAATCCTAGGAAAGCTGTTCAAAAATCTGCCACAAATTAGAAATCGATCTAGTCTAACCCATGTTGACAACTCTCTATTACTGCACCAGGTGAAAGTTCCTCCTGACATAGGCAGATCCATAAGGTTAGCTTGTTGTATAAATGATCTAAGAGTTTCAATAGCATGCCAATTTTGTGATCTCCCTTGCTTTTCTTCCGGAACAAGATACACATTGAAATCACCCCCAATACAAACTGGCAAATTCGTCAAACTAACATAACTCAGCAGCTCCCCAAAGAATTCCTCCTTATCAGCTTCAATAACAGGTCCATAGACATTAATGAAGACAAACTCCTTTTGGCCATTCAAAAAATTCCCCACTAATGCTATAAACCTACTATGAACATGCTGGATAGTGACATTGAAAACGTTTTCATTCCACATACTAATCAAACCACCCTTAGACCCCTGTGCAGGAGAAACCACCACTCCCTTCAGCAAATTTCCTCCAATCCTCCTTAAGATCGACGCATGACACTGGTCAAGTTTAGATTCTTGAATAAAAATCATAACAGGTTTTAACTTCTTAACTTGCCTTGCCACTGCTAAAGATTTTTCCTTCCTCCCTAAACCTCTAATGTTCCAAGTAAGGATACTAAATTTCTGCATATACTGACTTCAAAACCAAACACCAAAAATATACCCTGCAAACCAGCATATCACCCTTCCCTTCCTACCTCCAAACCCTTTTCAAGACTCACAATTTTATCAATAAAAGCCTTCCTCCCTTCCTTAAAAGAAATACCTAACATCTGACACACTTCCCATGTGGCCATTGCTTCCTCTACCAGCTTCGAGAAAAGAGATGAAGAAGCAGTAGAAATATTCACCATTTCCAAAGCTTCACTGATTAGAGCTCTTCTCTTCCTTCTTTTATTAAATCGAGACCCTGAAGCAGTGTAAGGAGCTGCTGCCAGACTCTCTGAATGATTACTGCCAATTAATGGGACATTCGGAGTCTTCGGAACATCTAATGAACAATTGATATCCTCTTCCTGACCAATTCCCCTATATTCTGAAAAATTCTGCTGAAAATATCTGCTTTCATTTGCCTTCTGTCCTTGATTCAGATTAACCTCTGAACAAAATAATTCTGTTTCGTTATTTGCATCTAACCAAATTCGTCTATTTCTTGACCTTCTATAGACTCTAGCATATCGACCTCTTTCTCTCCTACCACCGGGTGCACTTCTAATTGACAGACAAGCATAATTTGAATGTCCCATTTTCCAACTTTTAGAGCTCTTCATAAATCCTCCATTATTATCCTCCTGCATGAAACTTCCTTCTGCTATCTTACCACGAGCAGAAATTTCATCACCCTGGCCTTCCCCATTATCCTCTTCTGGAATATTGCAACTATCATCCTCCATTAAATCATAAAGAGACTGGAACTTATTTTGTTTATCCAGCCCATCCCACTTAATTTTAACAGCAGGCCCAGCAGGAATTATTTTAGAGACTGGAGAAGATGATTCCCCATTAGAATCAGATTGGGCTGGATGTAACTGATCCACTTCCTTTCGCAGCCCTAGCCCCGCAAAATCTCTATAGGAATTAGACTCAAATTCAAATTCAAAATTTTCTGACAACCCATTAATGATAGGTTTCGTGTGGGACTTATGTTTCAGAGATTGTTCCCCGCCACCTTTTAACCTCCCACTTTCTTGACCCTGCTGTAACCACGTGTCCACCTTTGACCCTACTTCCTCTGCTGACTTCTCCCACTTGTCTTCTTCCTTCTCTGAGTTGACTCCTTCATCCTCCTTCGAAAAATCATCACTACTCCCATCATCAAAATACTTCTGCAGCTCCTCTCCGATTCCAGCTTGGAAATTGTTGCACTTCTGTCCCGTATTTATTATGACTTTAAAAGATCTTCCATATGACCCTACATAAGTATATTCGGGTATATCAAAAGGACTTGCTACCCTTAACAGTAATCTCGCTGAAGAAAGATCATCTCTATTCCTTGTCTCCTCCATGATACTCACAAGCTCTCCCCACATTCCTGCAAGTTTCTCCAGAAAAGGTGCAGACCAACTAAGAAATGGTAGCCCCTCCAACTCTACCAAGCAGTACGCCAGTGGAACTCCTTCTTCGTTTAACAATGGAGATAACCACTTAAACCAGAGGAACAACTTCTCTCTACTGTACGACCAAGCCTTTAAGAAATCTTCATTAGAACTGAATATAACGATACAAGCATTCTTAACATAACCCCAGCTTACTATTTTGACCTCATAACCCTCCTTCGCCAGGGCCTTTTTCACCATATCAGACTGACGGGGATATTTCAAAACCCCCGTTAAAGAATTCTTCACCCAACTTGAATCTTCAGAAGGAATGTGCATATCCCATACGTTCCTTAGCCCATTTGCTTTCAAATTTTGTCCTCCCTTAATTCCCGCTCTATCGTGCTCCGCTCTTACCTCTACATTCACCACCTCCTTATACGTTCTGCCATCCCTCGGGCTGCTCGGCTTTCCCATTACCACCTGCTGCCTACCTTCCTCCCCTCGCACATGCTTGTTGCCTTTCACCTGGAACTTTTTGTCATCAGTTGCTCTTCTCCTTTCCTTCTGATACTTTGCAACCCCCACTGAGACTCTCTTCCCATCTATCAGCGTTCCATTGACGTTCTGAATCGCTCTTCTACAACCTTCCTCCATCGCATATTGCACAAAGGCAAACGTTGATGACTTATAATTTGGTTTCACCATAAAACTTGGAATATAGACCCTTAAAACACGACCATAAATATCGAAGATCTCTCTTAACTCTCTTCTAGTAACTCTCTTACTAAGATTGTCTACGAAAACAGTCCATTCTTTATCGGAAGAAGAACGACCTGTCACCCGCTCTCTACTTCTCTCTCTACCTTTCTCACTCATGTCTCTATTCTATCAAGTTGAAATGATGCTTCTTAAGACTTCCGCTCTACACAAGTATCAAGTTGATAATTCCAATTCCTCGGTTTTATCCCTTCATCTCTATAAGCATGAACCTCTTTCGTAAGCTCCATCGCAAGAGTCTTAATGGACGAATTAATTAACCTTTCTACTCCCAATATTGGCAAAGGACAGAGAACAATCCTTTTACCGATAAATTCTTTGGAAGGAGGGCGGCAGTTAGTCGACGATTTCTGTTTGCAGGAGATATCCCGAACAGAAATCCTTCCACACAAAGGGTGGTGTCCGAGAAGCAAAGTTGTTGCAATCGACTCCACCATCACCATGTTTATACAAAGCAGCAATATCTACAACTCCCCCTGATGTATATAATTTTTTTAATAAGATATTATTTACGCCTGCAAATCCTCCTTAGCTCTGCAAAATACAACCCTAAAGTGATTGAGATTTGTGAGGCAAGATTCAAACGTTGGTCAAGATGCACAAAGAAAACCCTAAAACAATTAATTAAAAAGACAGCTAATTGTAGGAAAGCCGCACAAAGATAACCCTAAAATGATTCTTTAATTACCAAAAACAAGGCGAACGAGTAAAATAACAGCGTCAGATTAACAAAAAGAAAGGAACCCATCCACGTTAAACAATCATAAAAGGGGCAGATTAAACGAAGAACAACCACAAACAGAAAGAAAAAAAAAGGCATCAAAACATGAAGAGATTTACCCAGAAAATATTCAACAATTAACAAAAAGGAATACAAACATGGAAATGAAGGATGAAGTTGAATTGAAGAACCTGGGAAGGATAGAATTGTTGATGAAAGATGCGAAGGGTGTTATGGAGCAGAGAGAGAAAAGATTCAGGATTGTAAGAATAACATGTGAATCTCCTTCGTTGTAGTTGCTAAAGAAGTCTTTTTTAATTTGTAATAATAACATGTGAATCTCCTTCGTATGTCGACTGCATACGATTCTACGTGGTCCAATTCTCCTAATCCTTTGTAATTTCCCTCTTCATATTCACTTTACCCTAACCAGCCGCCCAGCCCACTTCTTCTGAACACTTTCTTGTCCCATTAATATCTTTCTTTTCATACCCCATAAATAACAATTATCAAACATATTGATTTCGATTTAATTAAATCTTATACAAGTAATTTTTTAATCAGATTTGAGATAAAAATCAAACTTAGAACAAAATAATTATTATAATATCTTTCCCTATATATAAATACTAATTATCATAATACTCATATATATAATTAAAGTAACCCTACCGGTATTCATTTCTAACGATAAAACATCACTTTCAAAAGCTGGATACAGAAAAAGAACATGTTTTGGAGCAAAATAAAATTACAATTTTCTTTCAAGGAACCTAACACGTGTTTTTAACATCGGAAAAGCTCAATTATGATGGACGGTTGATTTTACCTGCCTTTCACATATGGTTACGGGAAATATTGACTTTCAAATCGAAGATTGATTTCATGCAAGAAATATATTTTACTTGCCTTTCACATATCTTACACTACTAAGAAATAAGAACTACATATTACTATTAGCAGCAAATTAATAAACTCATTTGTTGACTATCAAGTTGAATTCGAATCACATTATTGTATGAAATACTTCAAGTAGCTAGGGATGGCAACTCAACCCTATTTTAAGTTAGCCAGCACTCAAAGCTACCTATATATATATATATAATTCATTTTTATAAGATAGAGTAAGAATCTAATTGAAAATAAAAAAACGATATTTTTACAATTATATACATATATATATATAATAACTATAATATTATATCAAGTAAGATTTTTTTGCAATCCAGTCCCCAAACCCCACACACAATTCACAATATACATGAATGTGTTTGTTTATATATATGGATAGAAATGTCAGCCGACTAGATAATTATGTAATCACAAGTTTACTATCAGAGGAAATCAAGGAATGACAAACTAATGAAGCTGTGATCAAGTACAATTATTTTCTTAACCCCATAATCTAAATTTATTCATTTAAAATGAAACATTGTCAAAGAAAATAAATGAAATAGCTTCTCACTAAAAAGCTGAAACATTTTATGAATTGGAACAGCAGCATTGAAGCAGTAAATATAAAAAACAATCCTCCTCAATACAAGCACTCGGTATCAAAGGGCACTACAGGCATTTGTCTGGGAGGGGAGATTAGGGAATTACCCAATGCAGTTTCAAGTCTAATGAGAACAAAATGAAAATAAAGAGAGAGTAGAATTTCATAATTTCACCTCTACTTTGCCTGAGGGTGAGAAGCAATGAACTCAACAGCATGATTGATTGAACTGATCTTGTCTGCCTCGTTATCAGGTATCTCAAACCCAAATTCTTCTTCCAGGGCCATCACAACCTCCACAGTGTCCAAACTATCTAACCCAAGATCCTTGTGAAAATGGGCAGTTGGGCTAACCTGCAAAATAGAAAAACTAAACAGTATGTAACACTTGAAAAAGCAAGGTTCCACATGCAACCAAAAGCAATATCACTACAACTTCATTCTTTTACTCGTATCTGAGCATATCTGGACCTTGATATAAGGATAGGTATGACCTTCCAAGAAACCTCCAAGTACATTAAAAAACTAAGAAAAAAATTCATTATCATATCCAACACTTGCACCCAAATTCGAGCAATATAGACCAAAAGAGATTACTATATTGAGCAAAGAAATGAAGAAAAAGAAAAACACAAACTGGGAATATAGCAAGAGTTTTGTGAGCCTTCTCCAGGTTCTTCACAAAGGGAGAAATCAAGCAGAAGACTATGAAGATCCAATGAGGGTACAGGTGTTTGATACAAACATGCTTCAACACACCAAAAAATGTAGGGATATACAAGGACACGGCATAAAAATAAAATTTTCCAGACATGGTCAAGACACATTTGTCTACTGATGAGGCACAGCAAAAAAGCAGTGGCTCCATCACACCACTTCTTCCTGATCATGCAATCAAAAGGAAAGAGTATGGGGGAATAGGATGCAACTAGAAGAAAGCACAACAAAAAATCATGAGAGACAAGGGAATGGGGTGTCAGGATTTGAAGAATTGAGAACAAAGAAGGTTACAGACAAGACAGTGGAGAAGAGATTGACAAAGGTGGTTGGAAGTTGAAAGGGGAGTCATGTGTCATTTTCCTTTTTTTTTGGCTTTCAATTATTTACGAATAAGATAAAACTAAGTAAATGAAAAGTCTTTCACTTTGATAACGATTCAGTAGTCAATCATTTGTACAATAAGAATTTAAATTTGTGAGAAAACAAATATCCTAATGAAACCAAAAAATAGTTACATTTACATTGAATACTTCTATATGAGAAATATAATTTTAAAATTCACATTCCACCTTGTCCGTGTTGAATCATACTTGTTCAAGAAAAAGATATGTTGAAGCGATTCGCCAAGAATGTTATACCGATTACTTAGTTTTATAAATTATAATAACCCCAATATATGGGAAGCAGAAATAAGGGTGACATCTTCCAAATCTACAAGTATCTTTACAAGTAGAAGAACATTCAACAGCCACAGTTGTCTCATTTACAGTGATCCATTTTTATGTAACAAAAGCCTCTTTCTCTACACTTTCCAAGTAGAAAATCATCCAACAGTCAGTCATCTCATTTACAGTGATCCACTTTTATGTTACAAAAGCCTCTTCCCCTTGTAAAGGTTAAATCACATTTCTTCTACAACTAGCATTTAAGTCGATATAATGCTTATACAAGTCACCCTCGTTAGTATATTAATCAAAAGCCAGACAACGCTAATATGACAAAAATTCAGACTAACAGTGCAGCCAAAGCTAATTTACTATTTCAATTTGATATCAAACCACACAATGAAAACCAGCTCCAGTCCATCCAACAAAGGATCTATTTCCTATTCCTTCACTTCTGAAAGAAATTAAATAACCTACCTGACTGTGTATTTGAAAATTAGAAAAGCTACATGATAGATCAAACAAAAATTTCAAAAAAAATTCTTACGTGCATGGTTATAATTCATTTCATTTAATCCAAAAATGGCGTTTCTAATAAAAAAACTATACGGTACACAAATAACCTACAGCCAAAAGAGTTCGAGAGAAGTGAAAAAGAAAAGACCTTGGAAGGATCAACTTTCTGAAAGTTTTTGACCACACAGAGGAAAGAGCCCATGACCTCATCGGAGAAACCGCGCCGTATGGCGTTGAAGGTGAGAGCGAAGAGGCCGTTACGGGTAGGATTTGGGTTACGGAGCAGGGACAAGGACGTTGCGTTCACCCTCAGGTGCTTAAGCAAAGCTCCTCTTACCGCCGCCATTTCAGAAGATAATCCCCTCCCCTTTCTCTTCTCTCTGCTGGAAACTCTGAATAAACCTTTTTTTTTCCATTCTCAAAGCCCAAACTATGAGAAATGAGAACCTTTTCGGCTTTTGTGGCATAGGGAACGAGTGGAACTGTGGAAGTGAGAAAAATCAGTGCCAAATACGACGTCGCATTTCTTCCTTTGACTATTTAAGGGGAAATGGGTTAGTTTCATTAAACATTCCTGAAATATCACTCGTATTATAAACCGGTCCCTAAAAGCTCTAATAGAATCCTCAAACAATTAAATTTTATCAATGAGATTCTTCCATCAGCGTAGTAGTTAAGAACCGAACTAGGATAAAATCATGGAAGGAGCCAAGTTGCTTATCTTTGATACTAATAAGGTTTTAAAAAGGTAATTAAACCACAAAAATAGAATGTCAATATTTAATTTCACTATTTTCAAAACTATCGTGTCTTAAAAAGTAATTAAACTAAATAAATCAGACACAAAATTTATTTTCATTTAACTTAAAAACTGATAGTTTCCTAAAAAAACTAATTAAACCAGAAAAAATTGGGAGAGGTCAAAACTTAATTTTAATTTTTTTTAACTTTCAAGGACTTAAAATACAAATAAACCATAAAAAATTAGGGGTTGTCTCCCCTCCACCCTCATGTGGTTCCGTCAATAGTAGTAGTAAACTACACGGGAAATCACTAAACTATAGTCAAAAGTCAATGTGATCACCGAACTTTCAATTAAATCAGGCATATCACCTAATTATTTAATTGATTCAATCAAACCACCTACCGTTAATTTTTAACTGAGGTGGTGACGTGTTCGTTAAGCTTAAATGACATAATTATATATTTGGTCCTTAATATTTACATATTTTGTCAATTTAGTCACTATTTTAATTCAATTAAATAAATTTAACTGTCCAATTAGAACGTGACACATGTCAATATACGATCGAAAGGTTTTATTTATGAATTTTAAATTATTTAATTAAATAAATTTTCCATCCAACCAGGTTGTGACACATGTCACCACCAATTGAAATGAAAATAAAGGAATATGTTTATTCTCAAGGGGGATCGAACTAGGGACTTGGGGCAGAATAGAGCAAGCGCCCAAATCATTGGGCCAAAGGTCACCAATAGTTTAAAGTTACAACAATTTGTATTTGACTTGTAAAAGTTTGTTAATGATAAAAAATTAAACAAATTATTTGTTAAAATAAATTATTATTTAAATTAATTGTAAACTGTTTTTTTAATTAAAAATATTCAATTTTTATATAAATTAGAAATTTAAAAAAATCGTTAATTCAAAAATTGACCGAATTAATCGAAATTTATTCGGTTCGGTTAATAATTTTCAAATTAATTCGGTTCGGTTAATAATTTTTAACTAAATTTTGGTTCGATTAACCTAATCGAATTTTTGCTTCAATTAATTCGATTAATAATTTTAAAAAAATTGGTTAATTCGGTCCGATTAATAATTTTCAAATTAATTCGGTTCGGTTAATAATTTTCAAATAAATTTTGGTTTGATTAACCGAACCGAATTAACTTAATTTTTGCTTCAATTAATTCGGTTAAAACTTTTCAAAAATATTCGGTTAATTCGGTTCGGTTAATAATTTTCAAATTAATTAAGTTCGGTTAATAATTTTCAAATAAATTTTGGTTCGGTTAACCGAACCGAATTAACCAAATTTTTGCTTCGATTAATTCGGTTAATAATTTTCAAAAATGTTTCGGTTAATTCGGTTCGGTTAATAATTTTTAAATAAATTTTGGTTCGATTAACGAAACCGAATTAACCAAAAATTTTCTTTAACCGTTAATCGAACTAAAATTTATTTGAAAATTATTAGTCGTGAATAATTTATTTAATTTTTTAATAATTTGTTTAATCAAATAATTTGTTTAATTTTTTATCATTAACAAACTTTTACAAGTCAAATATAAATTGTTGTAACTTTAAATCATTGGTAATTTTGGCCCAATGGTTTGGGCGCCTGCTCTGTCCCCCCTCAGTCCAGGTTCGATTTCCCCTTTGAGCACAAAATTATCCCTTTATTTTCATTTCAATTAGTGGTGAAACGTGTCACCACCTGATTGGATAAAAAATTATATAATTAAATAATTTAAAATTCATAAATAAAACCTTCTAATCATATATTGACGCGTGTCACATTCTAATTGGATAATTAAATTTATTTAATTGAATTAAAATAGTGACTAAATTGATAGAATATGTAAATATTAAGAGCCAAATATATAATTATGCCATTTAAGCTTAACAGACACGTCACCGCCTCTGTTAAAAATTAACGGTCGGTGGTTTGATTGAATCAATTAAATAGTTGGGTGGTCTGATTGATTCAATTGAAAGTCCGATGGTCACATTGACTTTTGACCATAGTTTATTGGTCTACCGTGTAGTTTACCTTTTTAAAAATAATTTAAGGTATTTACAACTTATAAATTTACCAATGACAACTTGCACCTATAGACACAACTGTCCTCTAGGGAGAACTACACTACCTAGAAGTTAATTTAGGTGTAAAGTAATAGTTTAAATTAACTTTAAAAGAAAAGCATAAGTTCTAATTTAACAATGAGTATATTTAAAATATGTTTATCAGATTATAAATATATGTCACGGGGCTAGACCGCTGCTAGCAAGATCATACGGTCTTAGTCATTTTCAAGGTCGAAAATCGGCTAAGTAACCCAAACCTCCACTGAGCAAGAAAGTTAGAACGTTGCAAAAACAAAGGAAATGTGGGAAAACAAAGAGATGGGCGCACAAAAGAAAAAAGAGTGAGTTTAGAGTGAATGCTAACTTGTATTCCTCAATCTGAAGTGAGTAAATGAGGTGGGGGTGAGCCTCCTTTTATAGTTGGAGCCCCCTACAATCAACGGTTAAGATTAAATTACATCAATGCTCAGGATGAGAGCCCTACTTAATCTACAACTTTAATTCAAGGAATAATTAGTGGGAATTATCTCTAAGATAATTTCAAATAATTATCAGGCCTTTTCTCTCTCCAAGGTGGATGGGTCAGCTCTCCTGGGTCTTTTAGAAGGCCCAAAACGCGGCAAAGATAGTCTTTGGCAGCCTTGAATGAACTAGGCTCGGTTATGGGCTGGCGGTCCATGACATTCTCCCCCACTAGTTCTAACGACGCTCTCGTTGTACGGCTAGAGTGAAACAGGTTTATCTTATCTCGGAATTGCCATAAGGCTTCGGAAGGTTCTCAATTTTCCTCACTCTCTGGAAGTCCCTTCCACTAAACAAGGTATTCATGCCTTGGTCGCTTTCCCACTCCATGAACGGCTCTCTCTGCGCATATTGTAATACCCCAAATTTTGTTTATTGACTAAAATATAAATTTTGAAAGTTTAGTGGCTAAAGTATAATCTTTGAAAAGATTAAGGACCAAAATTTGTAATTTTTAAAAGTTATATATTTTAGCCTGTAAATGAAAAGTTTGGATTAAAGCAAAGATTTTAGTGGGAATCAGATTTTTGGTAGGAGATTTATGTTAAAAGCTATAAAGTAGTAATGTTCGGTATTGAAATCGAATATTCGGATCGAATCGAAATTTTACGAAAATCTGAAGGATGTTAGGAAATGGTTGGAAGTGTTATTTTCATATTTTAGATCAGAGAAATTTTGCTCAGAACAGTACAATTTTTCATATTTGTCCGAACAGTGGAATTTTAGTGACTAAAATGCAATTTTTGAAAATTACATGGTCAATTTCAAAAGTCAAAGTCAAGTTGATTCATCTTTGACCAAGGAATATTTTATTGGAAGATAATACAATGGAAATTAATAATTTTCAAGTTTCATTAATGGCAAAAATGAAATTTCCTATTAAATTGAATAAAAATTCCATTTTTTTATTATATTATGACATGTGTTAAGATAATTATCATGGGAATATTCAAGAAAAGTTGAACATTTTCAGCAGCAACCTCAGCTCTCTCCAACGAAACTCCAAGTTCTCAAAGGTAAGGATTTTTATTTGGATTTTTGAAGCAATATACTTGATTTTTGGATTTAGTTATTAGATAGAGAATTAATCTACATGAAATTCTCTATCATTTGGTACCAAAATTTTATGGTGAAGATGATTATGTGGTGAAATTTCATGATTAAGGTTTAAGGAGGTTTAGTGATTTTGAAGAATTGATGAAGGATTTTTATGTTTTTGATGTTAGTGATTATTTCTAAAGCATGTATGACAGTTAAAATTAATTGTACATGCATAAATAAGGTTTGGCCATGTTAGGGATTATGAGAAGGATGAGATTTTGATTCAATTTGATGTTGTTATGATTGGAAATGCATGAATTTAATCAGAGGAGGTTGAATTCATGCTTGAAAATGAACAAAAAATTTCCCCTAAATGATTTAAAGGTATTCAGCCATAGGGAATAAATCTCGCAGTGAGTTTGAAAATTCACCAGATATTATATAAAAATAATTTGGAGGTTATTTTTATATATTGTGTTCTTATATCAATCTAGGTTTTTTAAAAATAAACGGGGATCAATTTCATGGTGTATACAAAAAGATATGAATTTTTAACCGATGAAAGGTCAGAAAAAGGGGCAGCAGATTCTGCACATAATAGATTCCGTTGGTCAACTTTGAAAATTCACCATAAATTGTACATAATGAATTAGAAGGATTTCTTTATATGAAAAGATTCATATTCAAGTCTTTTTTCAATGGAAGAAACGGAATTAAATTCTAGTGTGTGTATCAACACAGAATACTGATTCTTTGAAGGTAGTGCAAGTTGTTTGAATATGGAAATTTTAGAATTTAAGTTGAAATGAAGATGAAGAGTAATGTTTAAATGTTGAGTATATTTTTGGATACTTGCAATTGAAGTTAAATGGCAAGAGAACATTTTGAATAAATTGGAAATTTTGAGAAAAATTCTAAAAGAATTCATTTTAATGGTTAGATGGCGGAATCCGAAAGGTTCCAAAACTTTGGAGACTTGTTTGCAAGTTATTAAATGAAAAAGTATTGATTTGAACTTTTATTTTAGTTGCTGGAAATTTTATATATT